TTTCCTTCTAGTTGTAGAATTTCCACTCAGCCAGCCTTCCTGTGGTTCTGGATGATGTCCGTTTTGTCTTTTAATTGTAGTTTTGAAGTGGTTGTTCAAGGCAGCAATTTCAGGTGTCTACCTATGCCACCATCTTGGTTTCCCCCTCAGGTTCAATTCTTGGTCAAGGGCATGTACCTGGGTTACAGGTTTGATCCCCAGTCCTGGTTGGGTTGCATGCAAGAGGCAACCAATCTGTGTCTCTCTCATATTCTCCTCCACCCACCCTCCCATCCATTCTCTCTAAAAATCAATGTAGCCTCACTAGTGTTGTTCAGTGGCTAAGCATCAATCCATGAACCAAGAAGTCACTGGTTCAGTTCTCAGTCAAGGCACATGCCCAGGTTGTGGGCTTGATCCCCTGTAGGGGGCATGGAGGAGGTGGCCATCAATGATGTTTCTCTTTCATCAATGTTTCTATCTCCCTATTCCTCTTCCTTCCTCTCTAAAAAAATCAATAAAAACATATTTTTTAAAATCAATGGAAAAAATATCCTGGGTCAGGATTAACAAAATTTTTTAAAAATTAAATTTAAAACTTTGTATTAAAATATATTTCTAATATTAGTACTGTCAACCTATCAACGCATATTCATAGAGATGTCTGAAATAATGTTTGTAAAATATTAACTGGTTAAATTGAGGTGGTGGGGTTTGGGGTAAGTTTCTACTTTTTTATGCTTTTCTGTTTTGCTAAAATTATAAAAACATGTATTGTGTTTACAAAGGCAAATTATTCTTAATATTATTAAAGATGTATAACAAAGTTTTTCAGGTAATAAGAGTTTTCTACAACTAATTCAAAGTTTGTCTATGAACATAAACTTTAACCATATTTATAAATACCCTGCCTTAAGGGTTCCTAAAATCAACATCATTTGCTGAGCCTGCATGGAATGAGTGCATGCCCAAATGTTTGTCTTTATTTGCCCCAACAAAATGAAAGAAAGAAAAGAAGCTATGGCCCTGACTGCACTCCTTCACTCTCTTGTGCCAATGTGATATGTCACGTAACAGAGGTCACACAGGTGTGTGTGTGTGTACAGGAGAGTATGTGACTATATTTTTTAAATAAATCTTTATTATTCAGATTATTACAGATGTTCCTCTTTTTTCCCCCCATAGCTCCCCTCC